TTTTCGTTGTCCTGTATCTTATTTTGAAAGCCCATGGTTAAATTAAATACTTTATTTCAATGGTAGAACATTATTAACTGTACAATGAGCATTGAGACACTTTGATTGATTGTTGTTCCAAAGGAATCTAGTCTAGGTGCTCTATTAAACATACAGTTCAAGAAAATCTAATTGAAGCGACGGTTATGTCCGCCATTTGTGACAACGGTATCAGACTTTACCGTTGTCAGGCTATTCCGGTGTAAAAGAGTAAGAGGTCCTATCAAATTATGGTCCTACTCTCCACTGATTTATATGGTGACCTAAATACAACTCTTTCCCTCATTATCTATACACAATCAGGGCCAGGAAGGGCCCTTAAGAAAGGGAACCATAATCCCTGGGGGACCATAAATTCTTTTACACCGGTCCCTCTTTTTGAGAACTACTGTGCAGTCAACATCCAGGCCGAAGCTATTTGAAGCGGCAACTTTTTTCACTCGATTTCCAAGATGTGTACGTAACAGGTTGGTTTCATGCAAATATCCGATTTACGGTCGACAAATATTTTTCAAAGTTTTTAACTTTTAAATTTCCCGCGCGTAAGAGTTGTCGTGACCTTTCCTTATATGTAGCCAGTCACGTGATTAGAATCCAAGATGGCAGTTCAAGTAAGTAGAAATTTTAGTTCCGTGTTTTATTATGACGATAACAACCGGCCGTGCTATCAATATTGATAGCGATATTTTACTATGAATTGTATACTCATTTATATTTCGCTATACAGGTGATCTGATACATTCTCATTTCGTTCGTAAAGGACGTAAGGCATCCATACAAAAAAATTCTGGTCCACCCACTTTTCTGTTTTTGATTTTCAACTTTTATTTTCAATTTCATGTTTTGGATTTGTGTTCATATTTGACAGCTTATGCCTTATTCTGTTTCCATTATCACCATCATCAAATGAGATTATGCGATAATGTAGATTTCTGAGGTAAGGGTATTGTAGAAACTATAACTTAATAAGTCTCTTGAAAAAGTGAAATTTCTCACTGTGAAATCTGTAATGTGATGATATCACCATTTCAAGTTCAAGGATCAACAGGTCATGAAAGCTTTTCAGAAGAAAATATTGATATTTTTTAAGAAAATAATACACATCTTCCTCATGATTATCCACATTTTGTAAAACGGTACACGCTGCAGCTTATTTTCGCGAATTGACCAATTATCGAGAGACGCCTGTCGCTTATCCCGGACCAGGACTATAGTCCTGTGAATGTCTTATTTTGCCTGTACGATTACAACATGGGAGAATTTTCTACACTTCTTACACTTAAGATACCACTTCAATAGATTCCTTGGTATTTTAGCATTCTTTTCGTGTAGTTGAATCCACAATTGTCTGGGTTTATCGGCAGAACAAAGAAATTTTCGTTTTTGATCGCAATAATTGCGTGTAATATTAACTTATTTCAACCATCAAATTCCTCCATTTATTGGTACTTCCGGGCCAGTCAAACGGGGAATCCCCTTTTAAATCCAACCGCCATCTTGAAAAGTGATGGAATCTCTCTCGATGAAAAAGAAAAATGTTCCTCATTCTTAGCACTTTCTAAGTGATTTTGGCAATTTTTTGGTCCAAATTTGTCATTCAAGGCAGTTTCAGATCTATAGGGGTGACAAAATTACGAGCAACATGTACAATTCTGACGTACCAATCTATTCCTTACAATCTCAAATACAATATCTCACAATAGATTCACGATATGTTATAAATTAATGAAATTATAATGGATTCAAAGTGCAAAAATGGGTGAAAAATGTTTAAATTCTCCCAAATAATAAGAATGGTAGCCATTCTTATTGAAAAATAATACATTTAATTGTAAAAATCTTTAGTTTTCCTGAGATAACGTGTGCACTTTGGGGATTTTTAGAAAAAAGACATGACAAGGCATGACATGAGCCAGAAATATTCAAAAATTGAAACAATTTTTTGTTGGCCTGCCCGCTAGATCTGATTCTCTCTTTAATGTGAAACTCAACTGGAATTTTTTAAAATGTGAACCGCTATGGCAAAAGCTGGCTACTGGCCTGAAACCAGTGGCCCACAAATCCAAACTAAGATCCACTGTACAAAAAATTATGTTTTGCCAGAAATAAACAATACATGTATTTGATAGATGACTCATACATAGAGGATATGATATTGAATCATAAAATTAGTTAGGTGATAACAAATGAAGGTCAGTACAGTAAAACATTTAAAATTTGACTGTAAATGCCACATTTTAACTTGTTGATTAAATATATATCTCTGTCATAGAGACACATCTACATCCTCAAAAAAGTATTTATTATCTCGATATCATGTTTTTTAAAAACAGCCTCAATTTCATGAGTATTTCATAATTTGCTAGAGCAATTGATGATTTTTTTTGTATTAGCGATCAGTGCAAGAGATCGATTATTAAATTCTAGGGAACTGTCATCACATTTTTGTTGACATCTTGTCCATTGTGTTACGTGAAGTGCTTTCTAAAATGAAAAATCTTTTTTTTCTTTTAAAATAGTCTTTATTCAGCTTTTGGTCATTTTACATAACATAAACAATGACATAAAATAGATAATTCATACAATTTTCATTTTAATAGTTTTGATACAAAATTCCACTTTGAACAATAAAATACATTTTTTCTGTAATTAATTTCATATTTTATCAAAGAAATCATGCTTTCAAATGTTCTTTGTTTTTTACTGTTCAATTCTAAAATATATGATTTATAAATACTGAAAAAATCTTTTAAAACTCGGTAAAAATATACATCAAATAGAGGAATATGAAGTTGAGCTTCAGCATTGAAGTAAGTGACAATGGGATATTTGAAGGTCGTTGACTCGTTAATACATTCTGGACTGATCACTAGGAGCAGGAGAGAAAGGTTACATTACTGCGAAAGGTAATGTGATCTTGAAGTCTATTGAAAAAATGATCTAACATAACTGAATGAATTTTGTCAAAGCCACATTAGACTCCAAAAGCTCCAGCCCAAGCTGTAGACAGTCATCAGACATAGGAGAGTTAGGATGCTAAAAGTTGTAAAACCTGGACACCTGTTGTGTTTCAGGATAACTCTCAAAAAATGCAGCGAGGATCAGCGTTTCTCATATATAGTTAACAGGACCTGACGGATGCACGAAACATGTCATGGTATACCTTTGGGCCTGTAATACAGATTTCTTTTCGAGAAGTAGCAACGCAGTGATTTAAAAGTTACGTGAGCCGTAGAGGGACTTGGCCAGGATTAACCCCACAGAGCCTCTGACCCTCATGTTATGGACCTCCTGCATGCAGAACAGAACAGTATTCAATGCTGAGAAAGAAACATCTACCAACTGACAAAGCACCAATGAGAAGTTATTCTAATACCAGTATCTTTACAGTAGGCAAATACCATCTATGGCAACCATTAGAGATACAGGTGGAGGTTTAACCTCTGCTGGGGGCACCTTCCAAATAATAATCGGGTATAGTCGGAGCATGGGCAAAGTCCCATTGCATAGCCCCCGAAATCCGAGGAAGGGAGACTACTGATGATGTATCTCGGTAGCCAGTATCGATGAGCACTTTGTGTTTTATTTATGAACTTATTTTTTATGACGGTTGGGAAAGGCCAACTGACATGTGGGAAAGACCACTTGGCACTCTGGAAAAGACGGAGGGACAGCTGGGAAAGACTAGTGCGTAAGAACATGCAGTAAGGGATGTGTGATACAGGCTGATCTCGAATCGCTCTGCATGAATGATCGTGTTATTCGCGGGCGCAGCTTGACCTGCGTACCAATAGACTGTAAACGTGTACATGTGACGTGCATAACCTGCTACATTATGCACACACACAAGAAAGTTATGGTACCACAAAAGATCCTTTCTTCTACACTATACAGAAGGACCTGACGGATGCACGAAACATGTCATGGTATACCTTTGGGCCTGTAATACAGATTTCTTTTCGAGAAGTAGCAACGCAGTGATTTAAAAGTTACGTGAGCCGTAGAGGGACTTGGCCAGGATTAACCCCACAGAGCCTCTGACCCTCATGTTATGGACCTCCTGCATGCAGAACAGAACAGTATTCAATGCTGAGAAAGAAACATCTACCAACTGACAAAGCACCAATGAGAAGTTATTCTAATACCAGTATCTTTACAGTAGGCAAATACCATCTATGGCAACCATTAGAGATACAGGTGGAGGTTTAACCTCTGCTGGGGGCACCTTCCAAATAATAATCGGATATAGTCGGAGCATGGGCAAAGTCCCATTGCATAGCCCCCGAAATCCGAGGAAGGGCGACTACTGATGATGTATCTCGGTAGCCAGTATCGATGAGCACTTTGTGTTTTATTTATAAACAGGGGAGGGGGGGGGGGGGGGTGCGTGGATTTCTGAGAGTTAACTATTAAAATATAGTTCGCTTTCTGATATCAAACTTTTGCATTAGTCTCTTATTGCGGTAGATTTGAGATATATCATTGTTTACTCTTACATGAACACTTGAAAGATAAATATTCAATAATATTGCATTGATATGTAAGGGTGTACAAGAATACCAGATAGTACACATGCTATCAAGATTATTTTTGCAGTAGATTAAAATGAATCTCTGAATTTTGAGTTCTATTAAATGTGTCCTATTGAAGATTTTGATTGAATGTCAGTATGAGGTGTTTTATGATCTCTTCCTTAAATAAAAATAAAAACAATTAATTACAATATGATTTGTTCTTTATTTTTTTCTTCGATGCAATGTAAGCATTATCATATGCCAATATAAGACTTATACGTTAGTGTATGGTTTCAAATCTTAGTTGCAAATTTTAATAATCATTAGTTTTCTTAGGCTATGGTGTCTCACTTTTTTTCGCAGTTTCCAGACGTAACAATTGATTTTTATGTAAGATATTGTTCACAATCACATGCACCTCATTCTTAACAAATTTTGTCATTCCAGGCCAAGGGACTGTATGACTTTGATGGAGACAAAGCTGGGGGTGAAATCTCATTCCGAGCAGATGAAATTCTCACTATTATTAGTCAGGTATTGTAAATAATTATTGATACTATTACATCGTAGAAAATTAAAGAATGAGAAATGTAGGGCCATTTTAAGTTAACAAAACAGACTGTTCTAGTCGACCTAAGATTTTTTTTATCAAGTGGTAGAAATAATTTTGATTTTCATCTTTTAATATTCAATTTAGTTAGAGTAATATCATATTTGACCATTACAATGTACTGTAGTATATGAAAATATGTATAATTATACTAAGCTAACATACAACTATATACTCCAAATTAATTACTTAAATATTATATTTCCATCGGGAATTTTAAAAAGTTTTCCTGGTTCTCTTAATGTAGATTAGTTTACATAAACTCTGAGGAAGTATATTATTCTGGCATTTGCGGGCCATTAATTTGTCTAGACCCAAATTGATAGTTTTACATATTCTTGTTCAAGTGTTATTGCAGTAATATTGGGATTTTATTTCTTCACTTTTTCTCTAAAATACTGCGCATATCCACATTTTTCCCATATTTGGACGTGATTGAGGTATACAAAGCATGTGGGCATCGGCATCAGCGGGCAGAATATAGCTTTACATCTCAGCTGAGCAGACATATATGTTTCCCTGTGGAAGTAGGCTGCAGAGATTTTCCAGCCAAGCCTATGGACTGGATGTTGAAGTTGCTTGGTTTACCATCTCGCAAGCGCAAGAAAGCAATGATTACTCTGGGAAGGGAAGCTGAACGTTGCTCTCGTTGGCTGTGGTTGAGAAGAAGTGCAAATTGGTTGCCCCGGTAATCCCTTGTCATCTTGCCTCATCTCCACCATAACCATGACACACCCTGTATCCAATAAGTCTTCTCTCTCAATAGCTAGCATACCTTTAACCCCTTCTTCAAGCTTGAGCGGTGATGTGAAAAGGTGAGCGTTGGTCGACCATAAGAAGTTGGGTTTCAAGCATTTACCGCTCATTCCCCTAGGTGAGATGTCTACTCTGATGGAAGTTGGAGGCAGCTGAGGAAACCTCTACATTTCCACAGCTAATGTGTATGGCGCAACAGCATGTAGTCCATCTAAGCATGTTTATCATAAAAATATTACATCTGCTAAAATCATTATATTAATTTTATATCATCTAAAATTGATGTGACGCAATTATATTAGAATGTTCTTTTACAGGATGTAGGTGAGGGTTGGTGGGAGGCCAAAAAAGCCAACGGAGAGCAGGGATTTTTACCAGAAGCTTATGTTCAACTGGTAAGTGAAAATTCATGCCCTTGTTTTACGTAACTATTGTAACAACTGATCATTTGAAATTGGGACAATTGAACCCTTTGAAATTAAGATAAAACATGTTATCTTCAGATTGACTTGAAATTTTTACTCGCAACACATGGTTTCAACGGAGTTTTGCATTATCTGTAACCATGGTACTTGGTAAGGGGACTTAAAGACACCTAACACCTTACACCTAACATTTTTACAGGTGGTGATATTTTGTCTTAAAACACCTCGTTTTTTCATCATAAATCAAATAAGGACAATTTTGCATAACTCAACAAATATAAAACTCCTCATATATTTTCCAGATAACTAATTCAGGACCCCCAGAGCCTGATTTCCCCCCACCCCCAGCCCCACCCAGCAGTTTTCCTGCGTCTATACCACAGAGCCAAAGTGTTCAGTCTCATGACTCATGGGACCAGCCCACACCTCCTGCACAGGACAACTGGGGATCCCAGCAATCCAACACTGAGTAAGTTTCTTTTAATCATTATAATGTTATTTATTGCATCTATTCCAATTTTCAATTAGGTAATAGATCTGGAGAATTGTAAAAATGTGATTAAAAAACTGGCACACAAGTTTTAAACCTGGAGCAACCCATGTTTCTGTGAGACTAATGATGTCATAATGACCTATTTCTTTGGCTCAGCCAGCTATGTTTTCTTTCCAATGCTTTAATAATATTAATGCTGAAAGCATTGTGTATATCTCATTTGTGCCTATTTTAATGATTGGTAGGTCATATTGACCTACTATAGTTTTCAAGTTGAATTTTGTTTATTCCTTGTCTGTGAAATTCCCGAGTTGTATGATTCACTGAAAATGTGTTTTGCTTTCATGAATTTCATGAATTTCCATTTGTAGTAGTATTGTAGCTTCCCTGAAAAAGTATTTTAGTTTCATAGACTTCTATTTAAAGTAGTCTTACATCAACCCTGAAAAAGTATTTTAGTTTCATAGACTTCTATTTAAAGTAGTCTTGCATCAACCCTGAAAAGTGTTTTAGTTTCATAGACTTCTATTTAAAGTAGTCTTACATCAACCCTGAAAAAGTATTTTAGTTTCATAGACTTCTATTTAAAGTAGTCTTGCATCGACCCTGAAAAAGTATTTTAGTTTCATAGACTTCTATTTAAAGTAGTCTTGCATCAACCCTGAAAAAGTATTTTAGTTTCATAGACTTCTATTTAAAGTAGTCTTGCATCAACCCTGAAAAAGTATTTTAGTTTCATAGACTTCTATTTAAAGTAGTCTTGCATCAACCCTGAAAAAGTATTTTAGTTTCATAGACTTCTATTTAAAGTAGTCTTGAATCAATCCTGAAAAAGTATTTTAGTTTCATAGACTTCTATTTAAAGTAGTCTTGTATCAACCCTGAAAACTCTTAGGCAAATAGGAAGTTCTACCCTCTTGCTAGGACAGATAATTTCACTTTTGATGATGATGAATCTTCACCCCGAAAGTATCTGTTGTTGCTTTTGTTAGAGTTAGAAAATGAATGGAAATAAATTCTGATTATCTAGAGGTATCGTGTTCAATATAGACTGCATTTCTGATTGAAAGTCTCTGCCCCCCCCCCTCCCATCTACATTCATTCCACATTCAGGATCTTGTCTGCTAATATTATAGCAATTTGTTTATTTGTTATACCTTACATAAAAGCAGGAAAGACCTTGGGGAATGAGGTGTAAAAGGGGGACCTACCCCCACTAACATCAAATCAAGCCCCTATTCATAATTTTCCAATTTGCTGTATGCCATTGCTGGTATGGGAAATGAACACTAATTAGTGTTATTGTATGGTTTACAAGGATGTGCCCTACAAAATCACCACCAGGCCTTGTAGAAACACTACGCAATTGTCTCACACTCTATTACATAATGGATTTTTAATGGTGCAAAATGCACTATATTGAGCGTGCTGTTATTATTATCCACAGAGACTCAACATTGTTATAAGCCATTACAAATTCATTCAAATACAATGAAACCTGTCTAATCCAAATGCCTCTGGGACATGTAAGTCAATGGAAGATACAAATTTCTCAAAGAAAAGACATTTCCAAACTTCAGTAAGGAGTGCTAAAGGGATGTTATCCAATGTTACGATTGAGGAAAAAAGTCAATTCCATTAGTGTTTAATCCTTCACCCCCCTTCCATATAAGGAAAATGTTGATGTGTCATTCACTTGCTCATCAAAATTTTTCATTTTTCACTTATAAAATCTTCATTTATTCACTTACAAAATTTTCATTTTTTCACTTAAAAATCTTCATTTTCTCACTTATAAAATCTTCATATTCTCACTCCTTCCGTATAAAATTATCTTTGTAATGTTGTTCCATAACTTCCATTGACAATTGAACAACATACCCACATCATGCTAAAATACACTGACTCTACACACACACAAGGGAGATAATACCTTTAATATGACACTCCTCATTTCAGTGCATGGATAACTGACTTTACACGGACGGTACACACACACACACACACAAGAGAGATAATACCTTTAATATGCCACCCCTCATTTCAGTGCATGGATGACTGACTTTACACGGACTCTACACACACACACAAGGGAGATAATACCTTTAATATGCCACTCCTCATTTCAGGGCATGGAGTCAGCCTGCCCAACCAGTGCCACCTCAGCAACCTGCAGTAGCCCAGACCTCAACCACCAACAACCAGGCAGGTCTGCCACAACAACAGAGCTATGAGGACTGGGATGACGATTGGGATGATGATGAATCTTCCACAACTACGCAAGAGGTATGTAGCTATAAAGATCTTTAACATTCAAGATGGTATGTAAAAGGTTAATTCAGTTGAAACCAAGGTGCAAAACTTCCTTGCCATTTTTGTGAAACTTGCAACTTTCTCAATTTTAACAACTCTTGCATTCTTACATTCATATAGACATATACGAATGTATAAGTATATTTTTGGAGATATTTAAAGGTTCACTAATAATGGTTTCGCAAGTCCCAACTGGCTATCATAGGCTATGGAGCGGAACTGAAGCAAGAAATTAATCATCCCCTACTTTTGCTCCACACAAGAAATGCATGAGACAGATTTTGAAATTGAATACTGTATCTGTAAAAGCAAAAAGACATCTGCTTATCTGCCTAATTAATTACTTTGTTCATCAAACAGAACACTAATTATCAAAGGTCATAAATACAAGATGTTCTAACTGTCAAACTTTAGACTTATATGCTGATGAGACACGCAATGAAATGAACAAATCCAAACTCTCAGGGCCTAGAAAGTAACAGATTATTTTTCAGGAGTTGGCTGGTCCAGGGACTTTTGGACTTTCAGCGCCTAACAGGCAGAAACCTTCAGGGGACCCTGGGAAACCCACTGGTACAGTCAGCAAAAGATTTGGAAGGTAAATAATCTGAGATCCTGTATTGAATCAAGGACATATGAGATTAGGACAATTGAATCCTTTAAAATTAAGATAAACCCTGTTATCTTCAGATTGACTTGAAATTTTTACTTGCAGCACACATGTTGAAAAACATTGGTGGCAGTATTTCAATGCTGTCTCAAAAAATTGTTGATCGCTTTTAAGATTGGTTATATCCATTTTATCTGGCCTGAAAATGTAATTGATAGTTTATTGATCTTTTTAAAAATCAATTTATGTTTATAACACCCCAAGCGACTTTTACTCCCTCCCTCATTTGTAATTAATTACATTTGTGGGGCTACATCAATATATTGTCTTTGTCCCTTTAAAAAGGTAGAATATGAGTCAGAACTTGAAAGGTCCTTTCCCAAAAGAGCTCTCAATGAAGGACAACCTAAATGTTTTAAATACATGTATGTATACTCTCTGGTCCAAAAACATCTGTGCATCATCATAAAATGCTCATAACTTTTGAAAATGGAAACCATACAATTTCATACTTTCAGGGATTGATGCCCTATATGTAACAAAGATGTGTGCCAAATTTGGATAAAATATGTGGAACATGAAGACACACAGATTTTTTTGGACCGGAGGGTACATTTATTCATAACATGTATGTTTTCAGTCGATTTTCGTCATTTGCCAAGATGGGAGGAGATGCTTTTCTCCTTGGCCAGAACACCGCAGCAGTGCCTGATGCTGATAGGAAACCGAAAGTTATTGTAAGTTAGCATTGTGTTTATATATTGTTGAACTGTTGATCAACAGGCAAGGGCCTGCATTTAATTGCATTCATGTACATAGTTTAAAATTGACAGTTTGGATTATTTCAAATGATTTATTACACCCATTGTCTGCCATTTTCAATATCTTTGAATAGATTTTTCATCAGCAAGCCATAGATAATATCTTATCCTTAGACTGCTTAAAAGAATCTGTGAAAGTAAGACCATTGATAGTATGATATCTCCTTTAGCTTTAATTTGCCTTGCCTATTTGTATGCCCCTTAGACCCTTACATATATTGGGTTATTTTATGTATTCTTTAGGAGATTAGTGAGGGTCCACTTTGGCTCCAACCTGATAACCAGTACACATGTGTTATAGCCTATTGTTATTTGCCTATTTGTATGCCCTTTAGACCCTTAAATATATATTGGATTCTTGTGTTTTAGGAGAGTAGTGAGGGTCCACTTTGGCTCCAACCTGATAACCAATACACATGTGTTATAGCCTCCCCCAAAAAAGAATCTAAACTAAAAGGACTGAAAAGTTTTATAGCATATCAGATTACACCTACAGTAAGTAACACAATGAGACTTTGAATATTATAATATATATATTTATATTTAATCGAAAATAAAACAAAATTAAATACCAGTAAAAAAGAATATAGTGACACCATAGACGCATAGACTGAGTTTTAACCTACTTTCTCCCCAAAAGTCGCTGTTTGAAAATGAAAAAAGGACACCAAGCAATTTGCTAAGTTGTTCGAGTTCCTAATGATTTCCTTTTTAAAACTTCATCAGATTAATATTACGTGTGCCTTTAAAATATTATAACAAGTTCAACAATCAATATAAAATATGGGATAAAATAACCTTAGAAAAATAACCATTCAACTAATAACTTATTTTCCTATTTTTCAGTTTAGTAACATCCAAGTAAGCAGACGGTATAAACACTTTGATTGGTTGCACGAGCGACTGGTGGAAAAGTTTCCCTGTATACAGGTGCCTCCTTTGCCTGATAAGCAAGTATCTGGTCGTTATGAGGATGACTTTATCATGGGACGTATGCGCCAGTTACAACAATGGATGAACAGGATGTGCCGTCATCCCGTTGTGTCACAATCTGACGTCTTCCATCATTTTCTCACTTGTACAGATGAAAAGGTTCGTTTATATTGCTTATTCATACATAGCTAGGCAAGGTGTGTCCAATTCCAGCCAATCAGAACACACTATTTTCAGGCATTGTTTCCTAAAATTAACACTTGATCCTCCACTTCTCGTTCAAATTTTGGAAAGCAACACCTTCAAGAATGGTCATTCCACATTGCATTGAATCCAAGGCTTAAATCCTTAAATGAATACTTAAAGACATTCAATTTTATTAATTTGAGATTTTTTCCGACACTACACACTAAAAATCTTTTGATGTAGTCATAATTTGTTCGCAACAAGCACACACCGGAATAGCTTCAATTAGATTTTCATGAACTGTATGTTTAATAGATGATGGTACATTGGTAAAGTTGTGAGCGTAAAGTTGTGAGTGAAAGATCAGATCATAGCACACCTTATTCAGAGAAATGTCTTGGCTCCTTGTTATGGAAATCTCAGAAGAACTAATGATGTTGGTTGTCTGTAATGTTCCTTTTAGATCAGATTTAAAATTGTTTAAGTTTGGTGATTCCTTGAAGTCAGGTGGAAGAGAAACCGAGTCCATGATAGATTTAAAGATGCATGATCTATTTGAAAATGTTTTTTTTTTAATTTTTTTTTTATTACTTTTTTATTCATAAAAAATCTTCACTGGAATTTGGTAATCACGGCTTTTTCGTGTTACTAATATATGATTTCTACGGTATTGATTGAAAATACTCAAAACATAGGATGGAAGCATATTATTATGAACTCGGTACATTAAGATAAGTCTATGCATTTGTTTTCTATCAGATAATGATGGCCAATTTAAGACTTTTGTTGAAGAAGTTCCATGTAGTACACCTGAGCAAATACTGGCTGCTTTGTAGTATAGTTGATCAATCAGTTTTAGTTTTGTAATATTTACACAACCATAAAGAATGTCACAAAAATCAAAAATTGGGAGTACTGTATGAAAGATTTGAAAATTAATTCCAGGTGTTTTCCATTTAATGTTTTGCTTATCGGTTTAAGTGGATTTAGGAGTTTTGTCAATCCTTTTGTTGAGCTCTGTGATATGTTGGTCAAAAGTTAGGTGTTTCGAAATAAACCTAAATGTTTATGATGATCAACTCGCGGTAAAGTGTCGTGAATTCACATTTTCATGGGTTCGAGAATGCAATGTCTTTACTTTTGGTTGCCTTGAAGTTTATTTTCCATGTCTGAGACCATTGGGAAATTGCATTTAGATCAGATTGTTTGATTTGGAATATGGTTGGTAAAGAGATATATCATCGGCGCAAATATAGCATTTGCTTGATAAAGTTTGCGGGAGATTATTTAGATATATCAAAAAAAGTAGAGGTCCCAGAATAGAGCCTTGTGGAATGTCGGCATTTATATAATGTATATATACAAGTATATATATATATATAAAGTCATTAGAAATAATTTTCTTTCTAGAGCTAGTGCTCAACTTGCTTGTTTTTAAAGGTTTCATTCATATCATAATGAATAAGATTTTAATAGGTACACGATAGTGTATAATCAATCACCAGATTTTGATTAAATGTGCTATTAATCTAAGAGTAAGCAAAATGAGAGAAATAACATAAATAATATAAATGAGTCCTGTACGTCACCTGATCATAAATAATATGTTTTTAATAAGATAGATATTTTTATATCTGTCACATATAAGATATTTTTATATTAGCTCATGTTACTGCATTGAAAATAATGCAATATACATGTATCCAAGCTTGTTTCAAAGTTTCAAAACTGTAAGATGCTAAAGCCTCATGCCTATGGTTTCATTTTTTATTTGTAATATGTATTCTGCGTTTATATTTTAGGCTGATAATATTCATAAATATTTATTATTCTCCAATATACTTTTTCTCATTTAAGATAGGAAAATTAGAAAATCCCCAATGAGCCCACAGTTTCGGAATTGGTTCACAGGGGAGAACTTTATTACATTTTGTATGATTTTATGTCTTTTACTATACTGACAATGTAAAATAAGGCCCTCGGTAGATTTCTTTGTATTAATTTAAAACCGAAAATATGATTTACAATAAGTGCATTCACTGGTCAAAATGGACTTTAGGATGATTTACAATACAAATAGAAAAAATATTTGGACAAGCTACTCCTTAAAGAACAACTGAAATAGGTTTTCTCAACTTGCAGCTACAAAAATGGGATTTTCTTCATTTTAAGCCCACCGTAGAGTTCTTGCGATAGCCATCATAAAAGGAATGTTAGATAACTGTTAATGGTCATTAATAACGTAATAAAATTAACTGATCAATCAGATTGGCTCCCACGTGATTAGTAATGTCATGCATAATATATAGTTTTGGTTCATTGGTTCCTTGGTAATCACGACATCACGGCAACCATATGATTGTTGTGTAAACAAATAACAAAAGATCTTGACATTATGACGTCATGATTTAATGGATCAAAACGGGCCACGTGGGGACCATTGAGAGATCACGTGGGGGCCAATAACTTCACAACCTATTCGAATATTGCTTATTAAGCAGCTAAAACGATCGTAAGAGTGAAATAATTTTCACGATACTGATGAGAAAACATGTCCAAATACATTTATCAAAAAATTATATTGATTCCTTAAGTTATAAAATATCATTTCATATCTGCTTTAATGTCAGAATATAGTTTAACTTTGAAAATATGTCTGTTGTTTATGTTTAGAAATGGAAGATTGGGAAGAGAAATGCTGAAAAAGATCCATTTAATGGTGGGAAGATGTTCTTCACTGTAGATGTGCCTAGTACACCATTAGATAGCAAGGACGTGTAAGTAGAACTAGTATGCCATAACCAAGGTTTATATAGCCCTTAATAAGGCCAGGTGCTCATGAAGGGTTATTGTGAAAATGACAAGATGACCAGTTTTTATGTCACCCCCGCATTTTATAGCCCATTTATTTCATTTACATTATACACAATATACATAATATTGTATTAAAGTAGAAAAACTTGTGCCGGAAAAAAGAAAATAAAGTTCACCACCGCAAGTTGTTTGTGGATGGTGTTTGGCGGTTGGTGTTCATTTTCAGCATCTGTAACAAATGGCATGTAGTAGTAATTTGCATGTTCATGTCTTGTTCATTTTTACTCTAAAATTGCAAAGATTCTTGTCAAAACTCTAAAAATTCAGAGAAAATGGTAAAATCCTAAATTAAAAAAATGCAAGATTAGGCATGACAAGAAAAGTACTGCTGAACAGAAATTTAATTTCTTATATGGCTTTATTTCACTATCCTACACAGTATAAAGGAAATATTCAGGTGGAGAAAGATCTATTAATCATGAAAAAGTATTTAATGAAATATCATCCTTTCTAAATTGACAGCAAGTAGGATATGCTTGTTCTATACCAATTACAGCCTGTAGTATAGTACAAATGTAAACATCTCAACTTTATTGGAAGTTACCTAGTACACTATTCAGGAAGCATATTATATGGATATAAATGATATAATGTAGAAGTGAAAATGGACATAAAATCTGTTTATGGAAGCAATTTTGTAAAGGCATATCTTATTTTTCTATGTCACCAGTGGTAGTAGTCTCCGACTTTTTTTGTGGACGGTCGTTTGTTTTCGATGTTCAGGGTCTGTAACAAATAGTAGGTGGTGACATTTTGCATATTACTGCCTTGTTTGTAAATATACGTATTATGCACCTTTTCTGTATATCTGCTGAGGTTCTATCCATCCCATCTACAGGTTCAGTGCCTACATTGAGGTATTATTGCTCATTTTGGTTTAAAAGCAATCACAGTTCAATTAATTTGTTACTCCTTGAATACATATACAATTGACCCCACAGACATGTTGTAAACAATTTCGTTTTAGCCCATTTGTAAATGTTCCATGTTTTATTGCAGAGAGGCTAAACTAGAAGTGTTTTCCAAGTTTTCCCGCAATATGTACGAGTCAAACAGCCAAGTGTTAAATGTAATGACAGAAAACATCAAAAAACACCAAGGACGTAAGTGTTGATGAATTAAACAAAAATGGTTGGGTTAAATTCTGTTTAAGTATTGTGTAAGCCTCTGTCACATCAGCCTCTACGGTGGCTCTAGCTTCACAAAATTGATGAAGAAAATCTACATTGTACTGCATATTTCTCTTGATTTTTGCAAGCTAAGTACGCTCTATGGTTGCCATAGATCAAATTTGTCTGAGGCATTAGTTTTTTGTCTCAGAAAAATTCTGTAGATTTTTTGGGGAATTCATACCTTGTTCTATTTAGCATTAAATAATACAATATATTGGCATTGGCTCTTGATATTACACTAATAGTGTCACTATGCATAATCTTCTTTCACTATGCATAATCTACTTTCACTATGTATAATCTACTTTCACTATGTATAATCTACTTTCACTATGCATAATCTACTTTCACTATGCATAATCTACTTTCACTATGCATAATCTACTTTCACTATGCATAATCTACTTTCACTATGCATAATCTACTTTCACTATGCATAATCTACTTTCACTATGCATAATCTATTTTCACTATGCATAATCTATTTTCACTATGCATAATCTACTTTCACTATGCATAATCTACTTTCATTATGCATAATCTACTTTCACTATGTATAATCTTCTTTTCAGCTTACAAGAGAGAGTTTCAAAAGATTGGTCACAGTATAACAAACCTTGGCAAAGCATTTGAGATGGATGCCTACCCTGGCTCTGATAAACTCACTGCAGCCCTGAGGAACACTGGACAGACATATGATGAAATAGGCACATTGTATGACGAACAGGTATATACCATATTCAACACACATGTACTATTACGTATGCATGTAGATTTCAAGAATGATTTCAAGAATGATTTCAATAATTAAAGATGTCCCAATCTATTGATTTAGTTATATATCATAGAAGTCACAATCACATTACATTTTATTTTGAATGAGGATTGCAGCAAATAAGCCCTTTAAAATAAAGATGAGCAAATAAATACACAAGCACTGATCCTATTGTAGCATGTTACTTGTAATTACTGTTTTATTTCATTCTCTTGCAGCCAAAGTTTGATAGTGACCCACTTACTGATGCTCTACATGAGTGGAAGGGTCTGCTCTCCACATGGCCTGATAACATAAATGTACATAAGGTATGGAAACATTTCAGCAGAATAAGATGCTTTAGAAAGAAATGGTTTGCGTCCTATGCACTATTGGGATTGTTTACTGTCAATAAATGTAATAAATTTCAGTTACATGTACATTTAACTTCAAAAGTCCTCTAATGTGTATGACCTGAATAAAAAAATTGATTGATAATTAGTTTTGTAAAAGTTATATTTTGTGGTTATCTGAGACCACAGGAGGTACCCATTTTTGACATGCCATCTATATTAGTCATTTGGAGTGTTCATGTTATTGGGATCTGAAAATATTTTCCATATATGCCTATTTTCCATAAATGCCTATTCTTCATAAATGCCTTCTTTCCATAAATGCTTACTTTCCATAAATGCTTATTTTCCATAAATGCCTATTCTTGTTATTTTAGAGTGCAATGAGTAAAGTGAAGGAGGTTCAGAAGGCTTCAGATGAGGGCAAGATGTCTGAATCTGAAGCTCAAGGAGTAGTGAATAGAGCTGACAGCATCAGCTATGTCACATTAGCAGAAATAGATCACTTCCACAAAGGCAGAGTCAATGACTATAGAGTCATGATGAAAGAATATTTACAGGCCCAGTTAGAGTTTTATAAAAAGGTATGATTGCATTTGAACATCATTTTCAGTGTCATACCTATGGAGTGATATACCCAGGATAAGAATAAGTGGATGCAGCACCCAGTTGAAAATCTGAAAATTACATGCCCCCTCCCTAGTTGAAAATCACCACTACCTGCTAAAATCATGAAATGCTCAGATATTTTTTAACCAAAAACAGATAGAATGAGGATTAAGCACCTTGTTGAGAAAATATCCTGGAGAAATCACCACTATTCATATCTGATTGTTACTTTTACAGTCCCTTAATCTCTGAAATGTGAATGAATCATTGGATCTATTGACATTTTGAGTGTTCTGTAGGAATAGCACATAATACATGTAGCATTGTAGCAATCACCTTGATTTCTTTTGTATTTATTAGCGTCTGGGCAATGGTTTTGTGCTACCTAGTCCATTGCATACAATTTTCTTCAGCTTTTTTTTGGAATCTTCATTTGTTAACTAAAAACCATTTTGTTTTGATCATCTCTGAATTTTTACAGATCACAAATAAAGTAGAAGATACTTTGCGTTACTATGACGATGTTTGAGGTGCAATACAACTAGGAGTCCCAACGCTATTACATATTTACTGGACTGTCAGATCCTTACATTCAAATACAGCACATAACAACACTGCAGAGATGGTCATGAATAAAATACAGCACAACCTGACTGTTGAGGGTTGCTTATACATAAATACAGAGCATAGTGCCTTGGAAAGTGGGAAACAAGGGGGGGGGGGAATACAGCCCTTGGTGTCTTTCACTGAAGGGAGGTGCTAGTTAGTAGTATAGTAGTGCCTTGGACAGACAGTGGGAGGGGGATGCAGCATTCTTGTCTTAAGGATTACATGAGATTGACTGTTAGGGCATCTGTATATAGGAATGTAGTATTGTACATTTACATAGAAAATTCGGGATCTAATGGAAGCTCTGATCTATTGCAGTGTTCATTCTCTAAATTACTGAGTAAAAAGGAATCACGGAGCTTCATATAAAAGGATTGGAATACACTCGACGTATGAGTTATCATGGAAAAAGTCAACTACCATGTAGCTTATTTTTCAAATTATATTGAAAATATGACACGACCCTAGTCACACTTAAGGTGGGAAGAGTTGGGTGAATTTTAGACCAATTTATACAGCTAGCCTTCATGTACGAGTATAAATGTTGACCTGGATTACCTTAATAGTTGAGTGTATGTGTGGGTACTGCAGTATTAGCTCATCACTGGGAATCAGGAATGAGGTATTACCTCACATAATTATGTACAGTTCTTGTTTTAATCCAAGCATTGCCAAAAGCTCAATGAAAGCACTATTGCTTAATATGTTAGTCAACAGGTCAAGACTATTGCTTAAAATAATTTAATTTAGACAATTTGATTGTTGTTCATTCTTTCCATCTTTTATTGACAGATCAGTTCACTCTGCCTTAAATGAAAGTTCCTAATATTATACACTATGTGTATATGCTGTATATTGTAAATGTATATTTAATTGAAATGATACTTTACATTACAGGCTTTCTAGAGAGTTCATAATTGTGTTATTATGTATATTATATTACATGTAGTGGGCTCGTTACTCCTGAAACTGAACTGCTTACAAATCAAACATCAACAAGGAAATATATTTATGAATTTCATTATTTATATATTAGATTACATATATAGACAGATATCTTGTTTATTTCAGCTTCTAAAATAGTCTGATTTTAAAAAGAATTGTAATAAGCTGTAACTTGTACAAGATGGACGGATTTTCATATTACGTCATCCTGCATGAATGAAATCGTTCAAACTCTCATGTATTCAGCAGATCAGTGGTATTATGATCCATTGATGGTGTAAGCTACGGGTTGCAACAATCTTTTTGGGGCATATTTTACAGGTTGAGCCACAATAATAATATTATTACCACCTTACCAGGCCTGTTCTAGGGGTATTAGTGCTAGTTTAGAAGGCATTTATTTTACTATATCGACTTGAGCAGTCATTGACGTCATAATGGCGGGCCATATTGCCGGTCAATAATACAATTAACGACTGACAATTTTCCCCTGGAAATTATATATCGTTCAGTGCGTAAGATTTTCTTGCTATTTCAGCCCTGGTCATTAACGTTGGTATAAATACTAATAAGGTAATTTCTGTGGGCAATATAGTGAAATATGTATATTGCTTTAAAAGTCCCTGCTCAATACTTTCAATTGGTGCCACTTATTCCAATAGATGTAGACCAGATGAGGTGATTTCCCATAGTCCCAAGCTGGTATTGTCTATCAATGACCTCCTTCGATGACCTTTCTTCCTTAACTAGAATTTGAATTATATTTGATCAAAATAAGTGTCAGTAATTTTGCTTATTTGTGGGACATTCTTATTTACCTTGGATGTTGTTCATTGTAATTTACCGTGCAGTTATATCAGATATTATTTGATACCTATCCTAGGTCATACATGTTATATTTAATCGTAGATTTGAAAGCTTGAGGACGAACATTATTCTCTGTTGGAGGGGGGTAATGTTGCATTGTACACAGTTGTGTGAAAGTACAATGTATGTGATATATAAATCCATGTGTGCGTTTATTTGCTCCACACAGAACACTTTCAAATTATATATTTTATTTAAATATTCATAGCATTTTTATATCCTATATAAATGTATATATGTTGTATAAAGAAATTATATTGGGTAATTTTCATTGCAACCAAAATATAGGGAAATAACACTATATATACAGACTGTATCTATGTAAATTTATATCTGAAGGAATTTTAGTTCTACCATTTATTTGGAGTTTTTCTGTTGAATAAATGAATTTGTTTGAATTGTATTTTCAAAAATTACACTAAATCATAGAGTGCTCCCATATTTTTTCAGATTTTTTCTATGAAATAGAAACTGCCAACTTTGTATGTTCTGGTGTACACATATCTGCACATTTTGTTCATAAGATTGAATATACGAGGGGTGATCAATAAGTAATGGACGCTTTTTTACACAGATGCTTTTTATAGACCAATCCCTCCGATTTTCATACCAGTGATACATCATGCAATTATCTATCAATTCTGAAGATTTGAAGACAAAATATGTAATACATGTTGATATATCCTAATTTCTGTGGAGGAGGTACGGGTACCCCGGGACCGACATTTACGTCACATATTCTAAAGCTATTTTAGCTTGTTTAACATGCAATGCAGTTGAATGCAGGCTGAACAAAACAAACCATTATGGTCATGAAATACCCCATTTTGTTATGCCATAGTTGATTTTGAATATTTTATCATTACTATGTGGTATCTATGTCACATTCATTCCACAGGGCCCTCTAAATAGGTTCCATCAAGTGCTACATGTACACAATTCCTCATCCTCTTAACTCAAGATTGTGAGACAAGGCTGAATCCATTCTCTGACATGGCAGCAAGATACAGTTGCATGAGTTGTTTTATTTAATCAGTGTTAATAAACCTGCGTCCTTTCTCTATAGAAATGAGTAATATAGAAATAAACAAGTCACATGTGAGCAGATGTGGACAATATAGTGCATTGGCCAAGGGCTCAATTTTGAGGTCCAGGGATATTGTTTTCTGAACATTTTGAGATCTGTGGGCAGGTGCATTGTCCATATGGAGTAGGGTGTTCCCTTCTCTCACCACCCCTTTCTTCCACAATGCTTTCTCAAATTGACCTGCAAACCTCTTCCATACAACACTTTGACATCACAATACTTTCTGTTTATGTGTTACCAGTCAGCAAAAAATTTCAAACAATACAGCACTTCTTGCATATAAAAAGTTCAAATCTAACTCAAATTTACCAAACTGGCTAAAAACTGAACATGTGACGTAAATGTCGGTCCCGGGGTACCTGTACCTCCTTCACGGAAATTAGGATATATCAACATGTATTATATATTTTGTCTTCAAATCTTCAGAATTGATAGATAATTGAATGATGTATCACTGGTATGAAAATCAGAGGGATTGGTCAATAAAAAGTATCTGTGTAAAAAAGCGTCCATTACTTATTGATCACCCCTCGTAAATCTCAGTTTTCATTTAAAAGCATTATTAATAATATAATATTGGTGTCTAAATTCTCAATTTATTGTGTGTAATAATGAATAAATTAATTCTATGAAATAGAGTATAATTGAAATATATTCTTATTAAACCAAATGATTATTGTCATTATTATTGTGTTCAGCTCTGCAATTTGCAAACCATCGGTGTGCCTAAACTGTAAACCAAGATTTCAATTCACAACACTGCCATAATTTATCAGTTTAAAATTCTGTATTTGTTTCAACTTTTTTTGTGGACAGTTGCTGGAATTACACCATGCGTTTTAGAAAGGCGCCTAAGGTTTTAACCCGGTTTGAAAAATAGGTGTAATCACGATTGCCGTTTTACAAAAGCGCTTTTCCAAAAGTCCTAGTCACTAAGAAACGAAAATACAGGAAATGATGGATGGGACCCAAAAATGCAATAGGTCATCAAATTATATTGCAAAATTGAAAGTAAGTTCACATCCCTGGCAAAAGTCTCGGTTACGCCTTCTCTTAGATGCTAAAAGAATACATTTATTGCAGATGTACACATCCGCTGTATATTCTCAATATCTACATTGTTAAAAGTGCATGAAAAGCATTTTAGAGATGGCATGTGTAATTTCAAAAAAAATTCCTAAGGTGCTTTTGAAATGTTGGTGTAATCAGGATGGCGATTTTGTAAAGCATTTTGGCATTTTTTCAGGTGTAATTTCCAGCAACGAAGTGTCCAGTGGTTGGTGTCTGTAACAAATGTGTACAATGTACAATATCTGTAACAAATGGCAGGTGGTGACATTTTGCATGTTAATGCTTTGTATTCTTAATTATTACCACCTTGCAGGGCCTGTTCTAGGGGTTTTAGTACTAGTTGAGAAGGCATTTAAATTGCTATATTGACGTGAGCAATATTGTGTCGGGCATTAATGACTTTAGTCGGGCAATAATGACATTATCCGCCCGGCTATGTTTCCCGGGAAAAGTGCTATCGTTCAGTGCGTAAGATTTTCCATTTCAAATTTGCTATTTCAGCCCTGGGCATTAACTTGGTAATAATAGTAATAACGTCATTTCTGCGGGCAAAATAGTGAAATATTGGACCAAGGGCCGCAGCCCTTGGTCCAATATTTCACTATATTGCCCTTCGAAATGACGTTATTGTACTATTATTATCAGAATGAACAAAGTTCAATTGGGATATTAGTAAAGCCTTCTGTCCAGAAGATAACTTGAATACTAGTTCAAAGTATGGCCCATTATACTATATTATTACCACCTTGCAGGGCCTGTTCATGGGGTTTTATTACTAGTTGAGAAGGCATTTAAATTGCTATATTGACGTGAGCAATATTGTGTCGGGCGTTAATGACTTTAGTCGGGCAATAATGACATTATCCGCCCGGCTATGTTTCCCGGGAAAAGTGATATCGTTCAGTGCATAAGATTTTCTATTTCAAATTTGCTATTTCAGCCCTGGTCATTAACGGTGGTAATAATAGTAAAAACATCATTTCTGCGGGCAAAATAGTGAAATATTGGACCTTGTGCCTGCGGCCCTTGGTCCAATATTTCACTTTATTATGCACCTCATTAAAATACTCAAATCTGATTGGTTCTTAGTTGCTTGTAATTTGGCAATACTCTGCTCTTTTCTGAAAACTGCCGGATATTTTTTTAATATCTGACCCTTTCGAGAAAAAGGGTCGGATATTTTTTTCAATGTTTTTGCAACATTCCCACTTCAGAGTTTTATTTCTTAATAACTGGAGTACTACTTAAAGCTTACATCTGAAACTGGCGGAAAATAGAAGAAAAAATGCGCTTAATCAATCACAATTACCCTTATCATTCAAAAGTTACATATACTTCTGCAAGAACGTCTCGAATAAATAAAAATTAAATTCCCGGTTCAAATATTTTCGTCCAGTGTAGCGAATAAACTGGCCGGAAGTCCGGTCTGAGTTTTGAAAGAAAAAATAAATAAATGTCAAAATAATGTCAACTAAACTGTAAGTACTCCACTTTCATTGGGAGGTGCATAATAAAACAAATACTGGATGATCCGGAGCTGGATATGGCCAGAATACCTATCCTCGAAAAAATATTTGGCTCGGCTGCCGCCTCGCCCAATATTTTTTCTCGAATAGGTATTCTGCCATATCCAGCCCCTGATCATCCAATATTTGTTTAATATTGCCCTTTGAAATGACGTTATTGTACTATTAGAACTCAATATTGTATTGTCTTCATCATTTGTACCGTTAAAACTCGTATGTCTTTTAATATCCGCCAATTTAATCAAAGGTAGAGCAGTTGGGAAATATTACATTGTGACATATACAGATTCATGAATAAAGTGGATTTTCCGATTTCTAGTTTCGATCTTGAAATATTTAATTTGACATAAATTCATCTAAAAAGTGTTTTTTACATCACCACCATAAGTAGTGACAAATTGTTTATAGTCTCCCACTTTTGTGGATGGTGTTTGGTGGTGGTTGGTGTTTGGCATCTGGAACAGTGTCTGTAAGAGCGGTTGACATCTGTAAC